CGGCATTGCACACTGGCCTCTGCGGTTTACTGTGGGTTTGTGGAGGATCTTTGGGCCTTTTTTTTTTTTTTTTGGGGGGGGGGCCTTTTCAACAGGATTATGGTGGGGTATAGTCTCTGAAGACCAGGCTGGGGGCTCGGGTAGAAGAGAGCTGGCTGGATCTCTGCTGTGGAGCCCCAGCAGGCCGAATGCTGGACTTTTCTATCTTAGCTCTAAGACATAGGAGTGTGTGGGGAATGGTTCCTTTGTGACACTGGAAGGCCAGGCAGCTACCCCAGAACACAGCAGAAAAGGCAAGGTGTGCACAGGCTCCTGTGGCCCCTAGCGCCCCCTAACCTTATCAGCCAAGTGTTGGGACCTGCTCAGCTACCTCTGAGGCGGTCAGTGCTCCTTGGAGTGAGCAGGTCATGCCTGAGAGGTCTGGATGCTGTCAGTTCTCTCTGCAGTGGACAGGTCATGCCTGAAAGGCCCGCGTGCAGGATGACGCTGTCAGTGCTCCCGGCAGAGAGCCTGTCATGCCTGAGAGGTCTGTGGATCGGAATGCTGCTGCTGGTAGAGGAAGACCTGTCGTCTTGAGTTGGGGCTAGTTTGTCACTAGGCAGTTAGAGGGTTATTTTCCAAAACCATCTTTCTTCAGCTTGGGTGCAGAAAATGGTCTCCCAGCTGGGCTCACGTTCCACAGCTCCCTGGTGTGCTGGGTGCCAGCCCACGTCCACTGAGCAGGTGCCCTTGCTGGTGTGGGACCGGGTGCACGGGAGGCATGGAGTGGGCGCCAGGAGTGCTGACGCCGCACACCTGGTTGTCTGCTTAGAAATTGATTTTGTCCTGTGAGTGATAAATTGACACTTGGAGAGAGCATCTGGGTTTCCCTGAGGCCATGGGCTTGCTGGCCGGCCTGGCCCAGAGCATCTGGGCCACCAGACCCACGGGAGCCCAGGGAGTCCGGGGAGCCTGGCCGGCGGCAATACCACACTCACCCTCCCACAGGTGCCATGGCCAATTATCTTGACGTCGTTGGGCCCTGAGTGGGCAGCTCTATTAGCACAGTGGTGAGTTTGAGCCATGCCAGCAAGCAGAACAATTCTAGGGTTGTTTCAGAACAGCTGAGGGCATTTAAGTGTTGCAGGGTCTGTGTAGCTCACGCTGAGGTGGAGCACGGTGCTGCCCCGTGCTAGGCCCCCTGCACCTGTGGCAAGTTCTATGTCGAGTCTGTGGAATCTGCCTGGTGGTGTCAGCTCCAGCCTCTTCAGGAGAGGGGCCCTGGGAGGTGCTCTGCAGTAGGAGTCAGACACTTGGAGGCTGGTGGGGATCTGTAGGAGTTGCAGGGCTCTGACGAGGCAGGTAACGGAGGTGCTGTGCTGTGCAGAGTGGTCGTTAGCAAGAGTAGCTGCTTGGGAGTCAGTCTGTTGTCTCGGATGTTTAGGGGCTACAGTATGTCCCAAACGGGGTGTCCTGTCGCTGGGTTCAGGAAATGAGACTTGGCAGAGTGCTAGATCTCAACTGAGGTCCTTCACACAGTACAGAGTGCAGCCAGACCAGGCGGGGCGGCCTTGTTAGTCTGCAGTGTGGGCCCTCCCTCCGCGCTTCCTCGCGGCTCATCCTGCATGCGCACACTGCCTGGGGCGTAGTCCTGGTGGGAGTGGATTTGGCCGATGCCACAGTAGCTACAAGTTTTTTGTTAGTTTTTTTTCTTTGTGCAAAAGGCATTCAGATGTAATTTTCACAATTTTCTGAAGCAGTCTCAGGATGACAACTTACTGGGCACGCATCCAGATAAGGTGGTGTCAAGTTTTTTAAAAAATTGATTTTATGTAGTTTCAAGTAAATTAAAAAAGGCCTCTTAAAAACACATTTTGTTTGTTGCTGTTAAAAATCCTTACAAGCAAAAAGGCAGAAGGAAATTTGTCTGTAGTACACCTAGGACTATAGTTGTGTGTGCGCGCGTGCGCGTGTGTTTTGCTCCTGTGCTGAGGATTGAGTAGAGGGCCTTCTACCACTCACGTCACACCCCAGCTCTGTTGTGTGTGGCGGTGGCATGCACAGCATGCCCAAGCGGCCAGTGCCTGTGCATCCACACTGGAGGGCCGCTCCCCCAGCAGCTGGCGGCCACGGGGCCGGGGCTGTTGGCGGGCACAGCAGCGTGTCCTCAGTCTGGTGCGTCGCTCCTAGGGCTGCTGGGGGCTGCATGGCGCATTGTGGCCCTTGCTGGTTTTGATCTATGTTGTCTGGTGTCTCTGTCAGCGCTGACTCCAAGTGTGGGTTGTTCTGGGTGACTGTCTAGTGTGTTTGAGCTCCATGGCAGTTGTCTGCAGCCGACGCCTAACCAGTGGGGATGGCCTTGGACCACCTGCTGTGGGCACTGCTGGAGCTGTTGCTCAGCAGCGTGCTCTGTGGCCATGCCCGTGCTTGTGACTTTTGGTGTGTGGACCTGGGGATCTGCCACCCTTCCCATGCCTGCCACGTGGGGTCGGTTGGTCACAAGGATCCTGCTGTATGAGGAGCAGAAAGGCCACCTCCATTTCCTCCATGGGTAGATGATTACACATTTGTACTCTGCCTTCTGTTCAGTGGTATTAGAGTTTAACCTGAGGGGCTTGCTTTTGCCAGGCAGGAACCCTACCACACCACTAACCTTTGCTGTTCTGGTTGTTTTTGAGACAGGACCTTGCTTTCTGCCCGTGGTGCATGTGGATTGCAATCCAGTCCTTCTGCTTTATGTTTCCTGTTACAGCTGACTGACAGGCACCGACCTCCATCCAAGCTTATTAGCTGAAATAGTCTTGTGAACTTTTCTGCCCTGGCTGGCCTAGAACTGCCATCTTCGCCATCTCAGCCTTGGAAGGAGCTAGGATGTCATGTGTGAGCCACTGGCCTATGGCTTACTTCATTATTATTCCTATTTCTGGTGTTATTACTGCCTGCCCTGGGGCTTGAACTCAAGGCCTTATGTTTTCACTCAGATTGCTTGTTCAGCTGGTGCTTTACCACTTGAGCCACATTGCCAGCTTAGCTTTTCTTGCTTGTTAATTGGAGATGAGTCTTGCTGACTTTCAAGCTTGGGCTGGCTTCAAACTACTATTTTCAAGTCTCAACCTCCTGAATATCTAGAATTTCAGGTGTGAGCCACGTGGTTACCTTTCTTCTTAATCAATTTGTAGATACCATGTGAGCTATTTAGTGTTTTGTTTTGTTCTGTTTTTTGGTTGGTCGTGGGGCTTGAACTCTGGGCCTGGGCGCTGTCCCTCAGCTCTTTAGCTCAAGACAAGCACTTTATTGCTTGAGCCACAGCGCCACTTCTGGCTTTCTGTTGGTTAATTGGAGATAAAGAGTCTCATGGACTTTCCTGCCTGGGCTGGCTTTGAACTGTGATCCTCAGATCTCAGCCTTCTGAGTAGCTAGAATTACAGGCATGAGCCACCAGCACCCAGCTATTTAGTAGTTTTTATGGAAGTATAGTTGTCTATCTTAGACCTAGAAATTGAGACTTTTAGCAGGATCTTTCAGAAAATTCAGTTTGCTGTGATTATTTAAAAAAAAAAAATCAAGCTGGACGCTGGAGATTCTTATCTCCAATAAACCACCAGAAAACCAGAAGTGGCACTGTGGCTCAAGTGGTTAGAGCGCTAGCCTTGAGCTGAAGAGCTGAGGGACAGCGCCCCAGGCCCAGAGTTCAAGCCCCATGACTGATCAAAGGAAAAAAAAAAATCAAGCCAGGCGCCAGTGGCTCGCACCTGTAATCCTACCTGTAATCTCAGGAGGCTGAGATCTGAGGATCACGATTCAAAGCCAGACCGGGCAAGAACATCTGTGGGACTGTTTTTTTTTTTTTGGGGGGGGGGGGTAGTCGGGTTGTGGGGCCTGAACTCTGGGCCTGGGTGCTGTCTTGTGCTCTTCAGCTCAAGGCCAGTGCTCTACCGCTTGAGCCAGAGTGCCACTTCTGTTTTCTAGTGGTTTATAAGAGTCTCATGGACTTTCATGCCCAGGCTGGCTTTGAACCGTTATCCTCAGATCTCAGCCTCCTGAGCAGCTAGGATTATAGGCGTGAGCCACTGGTGCCCAGCTTCCTTTAGTATTTTAATAAATGTAATGTGTATTATTTTTAAGTAGTGAACATGTTAAGCATTTATAAGGAAACCCTTCCCAAGCACTTGAGAAAAATGAACCTAATGACCTGAACTGATAGAGTAAAACTTGAAGTGTTCCAGCACTCTTCCAGAGTGTCTTAGCATCTCTCCCCTGCATGGCTTCCATGTACCGCCAGTCATGTGTGTGGGTAGGTCCTGGAGGAGAAACCCCAGGCCCTTTCTTTTCTCAGCCGCTGCAGGCTGTGGAGATGGAGATAATAAAACGTGCAGGTCACACCTGAGTTGACCCAGGGCTGCTGAAGCCTGAGCCACTGTGTCTCTGTCCTCAGTCCTGGAGGCCCCAAGACCCCTGACTAACTGATCCAGGCACCACAGGGTCCTCTTCCCTCCCTGGAGGTTGCTGAGGTCCTGTGTCCTGACACGGCAGGTGTCCTCACTTCTCAGCACAGGTGTCAGCCTTGGTGGCTGCAGCACTGCCATGCTTTCCTGAACGAACTGTCATCTCTTCATGTGGCTCTGTTTTGGTGCTGGTCTTGGGGCTTGAACTCAGGACTTGGGAACTGTCCTGGGCTCTTTTTGCTCAAGAATAGCACTCTACCCCTTAAGTCATAGGTCACTTCAGCTTTTTTTTGTGGTTAACTGGAGAGAAGACTTCCCTTCCTGGACCGTCTTTGAGCCACGATCTAAGGGTCTCAGCCTACTGAGTAGCTAGGATTACAGGCATGAGCCACCAGTGCCTGGCTTCATGTGGTTCTCCAGGGAACCTTTAAAATACTTGTCCTCCTGATTTGAATTGGTGAATTTGTTTTCTCCTCAGATATTTGTTTTCTAACCAGGTTGTGACCGAGTATGCCACCTCTCTGTGCCCCTCCCTCCAGCTTCTGCCAGCGGCTCACTTTCTTTGTCTCCTGCCAGTGGTCACCGTGATCCTGAAGGCACTGACCTACGACAAGAAATGCGGTACCTGCAGCGTGGGTGCCAATGTCAGGGATGCCGCCTGCTATGTGTGCTGGGCCTTTGCACGAGCCTATGATCCGCAGGAGCTGCGACCCTTTGTCACTTCCATTTCCAGGTAAAACCTGTTGTTTGTGTGCTGAATGGTGGATACGTATGTTACTCCCTTGATGTTGCTGTATCGAGAATGTTTGTTTTCTGCTCTGTAATGTGAAGCAGCCCCAGAATGGCTCCCTCCTGTGGGCAGGCTCTTGGTGAGGTGGTTAATGCTGTGGAGCCTGGCGGGGTGTGTGTGGGGGCAGGTGGTATTGAGGCTGGCCCTAGCAGTCCTGGAAACTTAGCACCTGCAGCCTGTACTTGAGGCTGCTGCTGCTGCTGCCGCCGCCGTCCTGACATTCTAATAGTTTGTGGCTTGGATTACTCACAGAACTCCTGGGTCACACTTCAGTCCAGCAGTGTGAAATGCAAACAGTATCTGGGGAGCTCTTTGAGGAGGGGAAGTGTCCTGGGAAGAAGTGGACCCAGCCGGTTGTTGTGTCCCAGGTCCAGCCCTCTGTGTCCTGATGAGGAGGGCCCAGGCTGCTGGGCTGGGGGCCTGCCAGGCCCCCTTACCGCTGGTACCAGTGCCCTGCCGGATTTTCAGCAGTTAGTCTTTTTTTTTTGCTTGGAAAGTTACAAAACAGCCACACCCTTAATTCAGCAACTTCTTTTTGTGTCAGTTCTAGAGTTTGTATTCTGGGCACCCCTGAGCCTTTTTTTTTTTTTTTTTTTTTTTTTTGTTCTTGGTGGTGGTTGTGGGGCTTGAACTCAGGCCTAGGTGCTGTCCCTGAGCTCTATCTAGCTCAAGGCTGGTGCTTTACCATTTTGACCACATCTCCACTGCTGTTTTTCTGTGATTAATTGGAGATGAGTCTCCTGGAGATTCCTTCTAGGACTGGCTTTGAACTGCAATCCTCAAATCTCAGCCTCCTGAGTAGCTAGGATTACAGGTATGAGCCATTGGTGCCTGGCAGTAACTCTTTTTAAAACTTAATTTTTAATTGTTGTTATAAAGGTCATGTACACAGGGTTAAAAGCCAGATAAAGAGTACATATGTGTATGTGTATATATATATATATATATATATATATATATATATATATATATATATATTTAATTTTAAATTGTTATTAAAAAGGTTATGTAAAAAAGGTTATATTTACAAAAGTTAAGCAACTTCTTAGTTTATTTTGTGCACCAGTCTGAGTCATGAAGTTAGGCTGAAGAAGCCGGCTGTGGTTTGCCACTTGTTTCCTAAGGAGCCCAGGGAGAGGTCACTGTGTGAGGTCTTCACAGGGCCCTCAGCCTCAGCGCACCAACGAACACCTGTTGGAGGCTGTGGCCTGTTTGCCGTCAGATGCCATGGGACAGGTGCTGGTGGCAACCAGTCCAGCCAGTGTGGGCTCCCAGGCAAGGGTCTCAGTGACTGGAGCTCGCCTGTGTTCTCAGGAACGTCTTCTCGCCCATGGTGCGGTGCACGGGGTTCCGAAAGGGAGGTAGAGGAGGAGCCTGCCCCATTCTGGGAGATAAGGTGCTTCTGAGGAAGTTATAAACACGCCTGTCTGTTCTTTCTTGTCCACCCCTTGGAAGGGAGTGGTGGAGCTGCAGGGTCGGTGTTGGCAGGTGGCTGTAGATAACGGCTTATCTTGTCTGGGGAGACCCAGAGGTGGCCCATAGCCAGTAGACTGCATCTCTGCCCATCAAGGTGCCTGACAGCCAATTTGGCATGCTCCTGGTTGGGGACTTTGCTGGACATTTGGACCAGCTGCAGCCGGCGGCTCCCTTCCGCCATGCATTCTGCGCGGTTCGCCGTTCATATGGCTTTGGGCAGGGACCTTTCTGCTGCTTCCACTCCTTTTTTTTTGGTGTGTGTGTGTACACACATATTGGAGCTTGAGCTCAGGGCCTTTTGCTTTCATCTTTTTCTGCTCCTAGCTGGTGCTCCGTCACTTGAGCATGCCTCCACTTTTGGCCATTTTTGGTGAGTTGGAGATCAGTCTTTTGATCTGTTTGACTAGCTCTGAATCACAATTCTCAGATACTGGCCTCTTGAGTAGCTAGGGTTACAGACATGAGCTGCTGGCGCCTGGATTTCTGCTGCTTTCTTATTCCCAGTGTTTTGGAAGCTGATCTATAACTAGGGAGCATAAGCAAAAACAATTTTTCTCATGTTCATGTCAGCCGGGAAACTTGGTTAGTCTATGGCGTCTTGTTCTTTGGCAACCCCTTGGTGCAGAGGTTGGGAACTGCAGGTACAGAGTCGGGTCTGGGGTCAGGCATGGTGGCATGGTGCTGACCCTCCAGGTCCGGGGTCAGGCATGGTGGCATGGTGCTGACCCTTCAGGTCTGCAGGTCCGGGGTCAGGCATGTGGCATGGTGCTGACCCTCCAGGTCCGGGGTCAGGCATGTGGCATGGTGCTGACCCTCCAGGTCTGCAGGTCCGGGGTCAGGCATGGTGCTGACCCTCCAGGTCTGGGGTCAGGCATGGTGCTGACCCTCCAGGTCTGCAGGTCTGGGGTCAGGCATGGTGCTGACCCTCCAGGTCTGCAGGTCCAGGGTCAGGCATGTGGCTGACCAGGAGACTTTGGAGAGCCCTTGGCTCAGATGTGCAGCTGCTTCCCACTTGTAAGTGAAGACAGTTGTGACAGATTCAGCCTGGAGGTAAAATCTCTCGGTGCTGTCTCTGGCACACCTAGGGGGAGAGGCAAGGCTGGAGGAGAGAGGAAGATGGTGGAGTGGGCACACACTCAGGCTGGGGCCATGGACCTCTTACCCTGTTTTTTTCTTAGTAACAATGGAATCACAAGGCTGAGCTGCCACCTTTGAAGTGGAAAGGTGCAAGTTCAACCGTCTGAACTAACCAAGGGGCCAGCTGGGCCACATGAAAAGCCTTGGCCACAGACTCCTGCTGGGGAGCTTAATTACATTCCACGGTTCCAGAACTTACACTGCAAAATCTCTGTGCAGATTTTGTAGAAGAAAACACCAGTTTTTGAAAAAAGCAAAACTGAAAACTGGCCGATAGAATGGACTGTGGTCTTTTTATGCTGTGGTCTGAAGTCCGGTTCTAGTTTGGTGCTGTGGTTTCTTGAGCTCTGGCCTTTGGGTGGCTGTGTGTTCTTGGGGCCCAGCTGCACTCATGCCTCAAGCCGAGTGTGTGAAGTTTCTACAGTTGCTGAGGGACTGGGTACCTTTGGCATGTGGAGAGAAGAGAGAGCCGAGCTCTTGGAGCTGGCCCTGGCAGGGGTCCTGGCCAGGAGGTTTTACTTTCTGTGGTGACCACAGCATGTGGCTGGGTGTAGTCTGTCTGGAGTTTGTATGGACTGAGCCTCCCTGCGGGTCCCCTGTGGAGGGGATCTGGGCCTTTGGAGGAGGTACCTTGTAGGCTACAGAGGTGGCTTCTGCTAGGACTTGGTAGCTGGTGTGGAAGTGGCCTGGAGGCTGACAGGTTAGTGTAAGTACCTGAGGCTTTGAGAATGACTTAGTCCTGGTCAGAGAAGCATTGGTACAAGGCTGGGTCCAGCCTCGGTCTGTGGAATCTCCCGTTACTCATTTGCTCAAGGAGGGTGGGTTTGCTGATTTACTGACCAAGCCTGAGGAACTGCTGCGAGTGCCCAAAGAGGCCGTGCCTGTGTGGTGATGGAGCTGCCGGCCCTCACAGCCTCTTGATTTCTGCTAAGCCAGGAGTCAGCAGCTCAGCAGGGGCTGCTGTGGCGTTTCCGCTGAGAAGGCCCCGGGCCCCGCTGCTCATGCCAGCCCCGATGGGCAGCAGTGCCCTTTGGAGCTGTGCGGGTTTCCGGTTCCACAGGTTCTGAGGGAGCCTGTGCTCAGTCCTTCCTGGCTCATCTGACTGGTGGGGGAGGAGGCCTGTTGGGGGTGAATCAGGTGCACCCGTGAGCGGGCGCATGCACTTGCCTCCAGCCTGGAGCTGTGCACCGCCCAGTATCGGTCTGCCGGGTGTGCCTTCAGCACTGTTGCTTGGTTCTTCATGAGTGGCTGTTCTAATGACACTTTTTAAGGCCATTAATTCTGGCACGGATAAAGTCTTGGTAGCGTACTTTCACAAACTTCGCAGTAGATCCTCTATAAATGGACAGTTGAGGTCAAAGTGAAGTCGACGTGTCTGGCAGAGAGCTGGGGCGGTGGCCAGAGGCTCCTCTACCACTGCCCGGTGCTTCTTCAGAGGCCAACACAGGCCAGCAGGTCACTGTTCCTAGGTGATCTTTTTAGTGGGTGGGGGCGGGAATAAAAGAAGCTGGATTAACTAACTGCTCCTGAGAATTGTCCCTTTCTGTTTTAGGAATATGGCAAAGGAGCTTTTTAGGCGTGGTTTAAATCACTTTTGAAGTTTTGCTAATTGCTGTTGGAAGGCCACTTTTTCCCAGCTTTGTGCACAGACAGCTGGAGATGGAATGGCTGTGGCAGGAGTGGGGACAGGATGTGAGGTAGAAATGTGATGCCGATCAGTAGTCAAAAGCCAGTTTGCAGGAAGGAAAAGAAAGTGAACTCCACATTGCTGCCAGCTCTGCCTGTCACCTTCCAGTGATTTCCTCACCTGAAACTCTTCTGTAAGCTGAGCTGTTGATGATCACTCCTGCCCAGGCACAGGCCTGCCCGCGCCAGGGGCAGCGCCCAGCCTTCGCCTTCACGGAGCAAACCAAACCGGCTGGGCCGCGTGGGGAGCAGGTGAGGGGCTGGGATTGGCTCATTGAGATCTCTACCTTGAGGGCAAGATTGTCCTGAAAACTCAGGAAATGGCAACTGTTGCTTAAAGCTATGTCCTGTTCTTGCCTAGCCTCCCAAATAGCCTAGCTTCCAGAGAGAAAAATGTTTTCGGGAATAGTCCAGCTCAGCACTGACCAGGGAAGCCATCTCTGCTGGCTCTGGTGTGACCCAGAAGCTCTTGGAAGGTTCACCATGTTACCCAGAGTGAACTTTGCTTCTGTTTATGGGCTGGGGAAATTCAGACAAAGATAAACCTAGCCTTTCAATGTGATTGGTAACTTGGAAAAATATTTACAGGTAATGAACTATTCTGATATTTATAGGTACCGGGATTTTGAATTTAGGGTCTTGCA